TGATATTGAAATGAAAGATAATATAAATAATGAAGATGAAAAATTAAATAATGATAAACAATTAAATGGTAAGTAATATATTATATATTCGATATCGCTCTTAGAAAACAAAAAGAAGAAAATTATCACTGTAGTTCGTTTTTTTTTTTTTTAATTAAAATGTCAAAAATTCATATTTAAATGATATTTCATAAGGTCTAAAAACTCGAATGAGAATATTCTATAACAACTTTAAATTTTTACTTCACTATATATATATTGTTTTTTGGTTTTTGTTAGACGAAAAATCAGATACAACAAATATTTCTAATGAAAATAATAAACCAACAATTAATAATCGTAAATCTCAATTAATTCGTAATGAAAAATTAAAAGATTTTAAATTTATGTTTAATATTGCTGATGGTGGTTTTACTGAACTTCATTCATTATGGTTAAATGAACAACGTGCATTAATACCAAATCGTGAACATGAAATATGGCATCGTCGTCATGATTATTGGTTATTAGCTGGTGTTGTTACACATGGTTATTCACGTTGGCAAGATATACAAATTGATCCAAAATTTTCAATTATTAATGAACCATTTAAAATGGATATGGCAAAAGGAAATTTTCTTGAAATGAAAAATAAATTTCTTGCACGTCGATTTAAATTACTTGAACAAGCACTTGTTATTGAAGAACAATTACGTCGTGCTGCTTTTTTAGGTTTAGCTATGGAACAAACAAATCCAGCATTAACATTATCACAACGTTTTAGTGAAGTTGAATGTTTAGCAGAATGTCATCAACATTTATCAAAAGAATCATTAGCTGGAAATAAACCAGCCAATGCTGTACTTAATAAAGGTATAGAATTCATTGAGTTAAAATAAAGTTTCAACGAATAGAATTTCTCTAACTATTTAATCATTTTTTTGAATAGAATCAAATTAATTATAAATAGTCTTAACTTATTGTTGTAGAGATATTAAAGTTTTTGAGATGGGATTCCGAAACTTGGCCAATAAGACTTTCGCCAATTTGACTGCGAATTAGATATAGATTTGAAAATTTCTGTCAGCTATATTGATGAGTGTAAGCTATGATAAAGATTCTAACAACATTAACTCCAGCTAGAGCCCGTTGAATCTACTGGGAGCCGAATCCAACCAGTTGCGAGTCTGAAAGCTTTGTAATCACTGAGTTCGTGTCCGGGTTCGGAAAATTTTACTAGATCCAAAAAAATATCTCATTTATATAAAAAAACTTTTTGGAATTTCTTTCAATTTTTCTCTTAAAAGATCTATCAATTGGGTTCGGCTCCAGAAATTCGTGAATTCGACAGACTGTAGCTTCAACTCTTACATATACCCTGTATTAATATTATTTTGTGATAGTTGGGAAAAGTTTACTGTACTTTCGTCAATTGGCGAAAGTCCACTACACTTTCGCCATTGGCAAATGTCCTATTGGCGAACTTTCGGTAACCCTTTGAGATATTTTTCAAAAGAATAAAACTGATTTTTGAACTTCGATTTAAAACTTCGTATTAGAACAAGTCTTAGCCTTATTTCAATATTCATCTTATACACTTAAATATGATATTAGTAATTAGAAAACAAGTTTTTTTCTTATTTTAGTTCTTACACAATTAGAAGAATTATTAAGTGATATGAAACAAGAAATAAACAAATTACCAGCAACATTAGCTCGACTTCCACCTGTTTCTCAACGACTTAATATGTCAGAAAGAAATATTCTATCTCGATTACAAAATGGTCAAAATCAACAATCATCAACTTCACCAACACCAACACCACCGACAACAACAGCAACAACAAATGGTAATGGTTATGCTTATACAAATTATTCAAATTTTATTGGTCCATTTGCTTTACCAGCAGCTAATAGTACTAAAACAAGTAAGTAGAATTTTATTTCATTTTATTGATTTTCATTTTCAATGATTAAAAAACAAATACTAAAACTTTATGTTTTTTTCTTTCCTTACTCATAAAAGTTTAAGTTTGAGTGTAAAAATAAAAGATAAAAAATTAAAAAGAAACGCATAAATTTATTTGTAGCACAACTGTTGAAAAAAAAATAGCATTAAACTGATATCTTTAAAAAACAAAGATAAATGATGTTCATATTTAGTTTTCAATCTGACTATGCTCGTAAAAATATTCGTTTTTTTTTCTTTTTCTATTATCTTTTATTTGATAAACGATGCGAAAGAATGTATAAAATAAATGAGAAAATGAAAATCGTTTTTTAAAAATTTTTCTTTTTTCAATATTTAAAATATTTTATTTGTATATAGCAACTAATACATCAAACAATGTTTCAGCTACACCATCAACAACATCAATTGATTCATCATCATCATCAACAACAACAACAACACAAAAATCATCAACATTAAATCTCGTTCAATAGAATTTCACATTGATTGATCTCATTGAAATAAATATCCCGATTTTGTTTGTCTGTCTATGTAGGTCTGTAAACAAATAACTTGTATATGTAAACATGTCCTTTTCGTTTTCTTCTTTTTTTTTTTTCGTCAATTATTATTATTATTAGTTGCTACTTTCTTTTTTTTTCTTTCTCTTTGTTGTTGTGTGTTCAACAAATTTACATATGCGTGACATATAAATATTAAAAAGTATATAGACATACAAGATCAATTTAAATTAATGTGAAATGACACATATTCGATCATAGTTGTTGATGATTATAAAAACATATGTCATAGATGATATAATGTAGAATAATAGCTAATCATTTCAAACAATAAATACGAAGGCGTCTATATATAATAAACAAATGTTGAATTCTAAATATATATATATACTCTTTCTTTATTATATCAAAAGAAAAGTAAATTTTTATTAATTCTGCCTACGAATTATTTAGAAAATTCTTATTAAGAGAATAGATAATTCAAAAGTTAAAATTAATATTTATGAGTTATGATATGAGAACTTTAAACAAAATATTCTCTTCGTATGAATTGTATTGTTCGATAAGATTAATTGAAATATGATAAATGCATTTGATTATACTTTTCAGAATTTTCGAACAAACATTCAATTACTATTTCTTTTCCTGTTTGATATAAATATATACTACTTCTATTAATAGATAATTATTTTTTGAGAGGTTTTCAAGATATTAAATTTGTCATTTTTCTGTCTCTAGATAAGTAAGATTTTTTTTTTAAAAATATATAGAATGAAAGCATATAGAGAATTTTGTATGTTAATTAATAAACTTTTTTTCTTTTGAATTGTTGTTTAATTAATATCTCTTGAATGACATTTGAACCTAAAATGTTAGCATAGTCTCAACATATTTGGAAAATTTCATATGATTTGAATAGACAAAAACTAAAATCAAGGAAATTTACATATCGTTTATTTTATAATTATATACATGACTGTTTGTAAGGAAAAAATAACTATTTATTCATTTGTTTTGATAAAAACTTCGCACAAATCAGTATTTATAACATGGTCACACCCTCAAAGAATAGACCGATGAATAATAGCAGAAGCCTTCTCCAGTACAATGACTGTTAAAATTATTCGGTCAGATGTATTTTCAATTTTTTCACTCTCATTAATGCTAATTATATTGTTTTTGTTATAGAGAATTTTATTTTTAATAAGAATTATTCAAAATAAAAACGATTGGTAGTTTTCTTAGGATAGAGTTTCTGACTAACCAAAACCTCCGTTTTTCAACTCCGAAAATTCAGTTTGAATTACTTAGAGTGATAGAACAAACAATTGTCTATCAAATGAAAAAACTTATGCTTTCATATGACACAACATAGAAAAAAACGAATTTGGGTTATCCTTTGAAAAGTAGCTATTATTTTCATCTTCAATAATTCTTGTTGCAAAAAAAAAGAATTGAAAATACACCTAACTGAATAATTTTTTAAGTCACTATATCTTATTTTCAGTTTTGAACGATGGCTAGACCTTCTCCTACAACTTTTTTTCGAACTTAGTCACTACAGATCAGTTGAACAGCTTGAATCTGAATTAGACACATAATATTTCGTCTAGCGTAAACATAAAATTAAAAGTACAAAGTGAAAAGAATCATTAACACTTCGAGTAACTTTCAATAAAAATGTTTTTAAAATATTGATATTGTTGTTGTAATAAATTGTTCACTTTTTTTTTTGTTATATTTTTCAAAAGTGTCTATTCCATATAAAATGAACGACTCTTCAAAAAGATTTAATTTCAATGCAACTAATGTTTAGACATATTGAAGATTATTTACAAAATTTTAAACTTCGAAGTCTCGAACTTTTTTTTGTATTCTTGCATGTCTTTCCAATTAGTGATATAATATTTTCCACATGTATGGTCAAGTCTCATGAAAATATTTTAAAACTATGCCCATTTAATGTGAACATGAGACAACTTAATACGTGTACATTGTATACGAATCAATTGGTTTTATTAATTTCAACAGATTACTTTTCAGCATTGGAAATAAAACCAAAGAAACTTTTAATGTTGTTCAAGCAATTATTGAATATCCGAATAAGTATTATATATCAAGTTCATACCATTATGGTGTAATAAACGGAAATTAGCTCATGAAAATGCAAGACTACGAAAAGTTTTGAACATTAACGGGTGTTGTTGATCGGAAGTCACATCTACATATAGTATATCACTAGATCTGAGTCTATGTTAGTTCATTTTGCCTTCAAAACGAAAATACTAACGACATTGAATGGAATTTAATGTTAATCATCAAAAATGATTTTCATAAACTGGCTTAATCGAATGCCCAAGTACATTGTTTATAAGAAACAATACTTTGAAAAATAACATTAAAATCAACTATCGAACAGTTATCTAAGTGGCTAACACAAAAAATAACTTTTGAAGTGCTTTTGATGTATTATATAAGTTTCTTTTTTTAATTTATTCGAAATAGAGCATATAATTAGTTTATTGTGTAATAAAATCTTTGGCAAATATTTAACCATATTTAAATAGATGAACTTGATGTGCATCGTCTTCTTTATTGTGACCTAAATTAAGAAAAGTATTTCAATTATTGTTATTAACTTTTTTTTTTTTTTACTAACCATAGGCACATAATGAAGATGTAAATGGTAATGGTCGAAGTTGAAAACGATAATCACATAAAGCTGGATTACGTTTATGTATCCATGGAGATATTTGAAGTCGATTGGTTAATGGATGATTTGCCATATCATTATAATTTTGCAATTCATCATCTTGATTCATTATCAATGAAGGCATAGCAAAAATAAGATATACATTGATCAATATAAGTAACGAAATAATAATAACTGAATGCATATTTTTGATTTAATTTCAATCTGAGTATACAAAAAAAAAACAGAATTTTATAAGTCTTCAATATTTATCTCAATCTTACCAGTTGATGATCAATTGTTTACTGAACAAGTTACTTTTATATTTAAATAACTAAATTCTGACTCTATATAACTATAGACTAGAAATAATAAGTATTAAAAATTGATTGAGATGACAATCAATAACTCTTATCATCGACGTAGGTGTAGATTAGATTATATTAACAAAAGAAAAACTGCAATAGTCGCATGTAAGCAATTGATTACCTTTTCTTTTTTAACTTCTTTATTTTCATTACCTGTCTGTTATTGAACACGCACACAAAATGCATGTCACTCTAGATTTATTAAAGCAAAAAAAAAAGAAGACAATTTTCACTTATGGGCATGTTTTATTTTATTTTATTTTATTTATTCTTTTTATCGTCCCCATCGCAAAACATGATCACCATTATGTATTTCTTCAGCTTTCGATGGTTTGAAATGTTGATAAGTTGATACACGAAACCATGCATTACGATTTGTACGTGGATAATATAATGGTGAACGTTCATGTCGAATAAATGATAGAAATTTTGGTGATATAATTCCTATATTGTCTTCATCGCTATCAATCATATCAGAATATCGATCATTTGAATAATATGATATTCCATTTGGAAGATATGTTGGAGAACATGAAATAAATGACGCAAGAAATAAGAATGAAATAAATCCAAATGATAATAAAAAATATTTTGACATCTAAATAAACAAATAAGAAATATAATAAAAAAGAAAATTATTTTTTTGATCGTTATATTTTATATAATATATTTTATTTTATAACGGATATAATATAGGAAAAAGAATTAGCTAGTTTAATGTATAATATTAATCTTCAATTGAAATTCTGTTTGCGTACATAATAATTAATCTATTGTAAAAAAAAATAATATTAGAATTAGTTCGGAAATGAATTGTAATATAATCAAAACAATCTATGATTTCAATCGTATTACATATTATTGTATACATAACAGAAATTTATTCATATCATTTTTATTTACTGACTTGAGACAAATAAAAATTTTAATACTATATATATATCTATGGAATAATTTCATTAGATATTAAAATTCATTAAATTCATTTTCATATTGATTTTTTGCAGTATATCTAAGTATTGTTTCATTTTCATATTGATCTGTAATAATATATTTACGAATAGGAATAAATGGTGCAATATATTTTTGTTGATATAATGTCCAAAAATTAATTTGATCAAACCAAGCATGTTCAATGATATCAAGAGCACCACGTATACCACAACCAAGACGTTGTTCAATATTATATTGAAGTAAACCACGTATAATTAATGCACAATTTTTAGTTACATGTTTAAGATTCATTAATGCACAACCATTAATTATACGGAGATACCTATTATTGTACAAACAAAAAAAAAGTTTAATTCATAGTGTTTTATAAAATTAAGCATTCGAATGAAAAGACATATATTTAAATACTGATATGACCTTTGAGCATTGTCGAAGATATCTAAGTTATATAAATTCTATTTCTACTTAAGAAATGAATACTTTCTTCTGTTTTGAAAGCTAAGAGTTTAAGATATGAATGATTTTATCTATGTGTAATAAGCTATCCCAAAAGACATCACACACACACACACATAAACTCCTCCGCCATATATATTAGAACACAAAATCATATGCATCAGAGATTAGAAAAATCTTTTTTCGATTTCTAAAATAAATTCTCAATAGAGATTGAATAATTTTCAGAACATTTCCATTTTTTACGTTTTGAAATTATTTAATTATAATTTTTATATTATACAATGACTATAGTATCTTACTCTGTGGATGATTTAATATATAATAGATTATCGTTTTGAACAATAGATCAATCGAATAAAACATTCGAAAAGATTTTTTTGCACTTATATCTCTTGTCTCATAAGACATATTTTCTATCAAGAATAGCATCAAAGAACAAAAAAAAAAATGACATATGCATACTAAATATTATAATTGAAATGTTGGCTTTTATTTCAACTATAATTATACATCACTGTTTTCTGGTTATTTTCAAAAATAATAAAAATTCTCAATGGAATTTCAATATGTCTGCGTTTTTTTTTAATTGCATTATCTTTTGAATTCATCATAGTTTCTCGAAGGTTATTTAGAATATAAAATTATGCATTATACCAACAGCAATAGTAATACTACTAATAATAAAAAACAATGCCTATCACATTTAATAAAAAGATTTCTTTGTTTTTTTTTGTTTTACATGTTATAATGCTTTGACGACGGTCGAATAACATCCGATGTGTCATTTTCAATAGTACTCTTCGATCGATAATCATATTCATATTCAATTGATTGAGTTTCATTTGTATTTGAATCTATTCTATATGTTCGATCATAAGGTGCATCACCAGTTACCATTTCATGTATAATTATACCTAATGTCCAATAATCAGGTGATACTGTATATGGACGCTGCATGATTACCTCAGGTGCTGAATAAATAGAAATAAAAAGACATAAGTTGTATTTAAAAAGTCTTTGCACAATATGTCTGATTAATTTTCTAAGTCACTGATATTGAAAACCATATTTCATACTTTTAGCTTAAAATTAGTTCCTTGAGAATAAACCTTTGACGAAAGTCAAAAATGGCGTCTATATAAAATTTTTTCGTGTAGTTCAATTTTGTATTTGTGATACAATAGGTTCAGAATTCTTATTATGATTTTATTTTTCGTATTTGAGAAAATCTATCATAATAGACATTAACTCCTGTCGATATAACACTTTATACAATGTTACATGGTTTTAAATTAAAAAGAACATATTATTATTGGAGGTACATTTTAGTAAAATGAATCAATCATTATTTGTCCATAACTATAGTGTTATACTGTCAAAGCAAAGTTCAGAAAGTATTTACATGAAAAAAAAACCGATTTATGGAAACACTCATTTTTAATATCATTTTCATTCTTCATTCTTACGGGAAAAGAAAATTCCACAAAAGACTAAGAGTTGAACAGGTTAATCACCAATATATAGTTTTTAATGCGATTCAAACACATCTTGGTACAAAAGAATCATAAAAAACTTCAATAATCGAAAATGTGGCATTTCAGGTGAAAAAAAAATTACGAAAACTTTATAAGATTTTATTGACAATTGGATGTTGTAAGATTCCTATGGTCTGATCTTACTGTAAAATTTAATATTTATCTAACTAGTAGATGCTACTAATAAGACGAAGCAGATGGTTCACTGACTTGTCCTTTAGATTTCGTGCACAAAAATTGTCGACTTTCACTCGACATAGCAAAGCTGAAAGATATAGCTATTGATTATTTTTTGTAGAAAATAAAAATGAGCAAATATATTTGTCAGTACCTTTTAAATTAGAATTTTGTATAGACGTATTCGAGAGACTGTGACATCTCGATTCCTTTCAGTGACTTATAAGTAAGCAAAAATTGATCAAATATGTTATGCAAAGATTTTGTACACATAGATTAATTACGTATAGAAGATAGAAAAGCAAAATATTAATACCAATGTAATGTGGAGTACCACAAAATGTTTTACTATAACCACGAATAATTTTTGCTAAACCAAGATCAATTAATTTAATATAACCACGTTGTGTTAATACGATATTTTCAGGTTTAAGATCACGAAAGACAACTTTGCACTAAAATATTAAAGCAAAATAAAACAAAATTTCTAGATTATCCTATGAAATTTTTTCGATAAAGATTATTCATTAAAAAAAGATGGGCACTTGATTGCATAGGATAAAACTATAGTAAACTATAAAAAAAAATTTCAACAAGTTAGTAGATTGAATATCTCGAAATATGTGTTGATCAACCCATAAAGTACCCAAAGATTTCTGTGATGTACTGGTAGTAGGATACAGTGAATTCAGTACATTCACTATCAAAGTTTGATTTCTCTTAAATTGAACACAAGCAGATGTAGCGGAATCAATTTCAAGAATACCATTTAGAAATATGAATATTAAAGATACTCATGAATGATCAAATTCATGATGATTCTAGAAAAATCATTAATACAAACTTCAATGTTTATCATAATTGGCTTGTCGTGTTTTCTACTACAACTTTACAGTTACAGAATATTGTTTCTCCATTAATCCTAATACTATTCATGACATTTCTTTTTGTATGTCAAAATACTCTTACACAACGACCAAATTTTTTCGTCTTAAGATTACTATCCTTTTATTTCTTTAATTTTCTATGTACCGTCGCTGTCCAATACATAAATGTTTACTCTACTATTAAATCTTCTATTGTAAACGCTCTACAATATGAACACTATTTTATGATGAACTATGTACGTGTTTCTTTGACTTTCAACAATCTTCTAACAATAAAAATTTGTTTGTTCTACTTCTACTCTCTTGCACACATAAGAATAAAACACTTCTGTATATTTCCTTAGAGGCTCACATTCAACAACTTTATTGTATTCTTCTTAACTTTATTCTAATGACTTCTATTGTATTACTATGATAATAATGACATGAAAAAGGAATAGAGATCGAGAGGTCGTTAGATGAAGATCGAAAAGAGCGACTAACAAGTTAATAATTCTCATATGATAATTCTAGAAAAAAAATTCGTTTTGAATACCCCGTGTAAATAATCAAGAGCCATAACAATTTGTGCTGAATAAAATTTTGCTTGAAGTTCAGTTAATTTTTGATAACTCATTAATGAATATAGATCTCCACCTTGTAACCATTCAATTACTAAATACAAATATTCATTATCTTTAAAACTTGTTATAAGTTGAACCTATTTTGAAAATTTTATAATCATTAATTTGATTTGACTATTATTTACGTAATAAGTACAATAGATGAAATAGTCAGTAAATAAAATACTTATAAAATCAATCAATTACTTAAATGGTCAATTGATATTAGGGTTTTTGACAATAATTTCAAATGGTGTCGATCGATCAAACAAAATTCTTCTTCAATCAACGCAAAAATAGTTATTACACAACCAATGATTAGGAAAAGATATAATTTGTATTCCAAATGATTCTTCAAAAAACAAAATAGCTGTTAGCTCAATCTCTATAGGATTAAAATATGACACACGATGTAGCTGCTGCTACTAATCACAGGGTGATTGTTTTATTCTATCTATTTTAGGATATATTTCGTCATCATCATTTTACTTAATCCTTTAAAAATATAATAAGACAGTAGTTCATCCATTCTAACGAAAAGTTCTTGATATACCGTCTATATCGTATATCAAAACCATATGCTACGATCTGTGTGTATCAGGAGACAGAGGGATGTAAAGTTCTACTGTATAAACTTCAACACTCTCTTTAGTTCGTGTTTGACAAAAAAAGACATAATATATACCAACTCGTGACTTAGAATTGATTACGTCAATTGATTTAAATAAATATAAAAACGAAAAATTGATGTTTTTATTTATAGTGTATACGTATGAGAAATCGTTCATATTGAGAAAACATTCAATATGCAAGTTGTTATGACTGAAATTTTTATTTTCGATATAAACTCATAAATAATACGATCTTTATGTGCATTTCTCGATCGGTGTTAAAAAATTTCTTATCAATAAAAGATAGAAACATACATCTGATGACTTTTCATATGGGTGAGTCCTTACCGATGAGAATGAGTGATTTAGAATCGGATTTTGACTTAATGATTCTATTTTATAAAGAAAAAAAATCACGACTAACAGTATTGATACGATCGTAAAAATAAAAGATCTGAATCCAATCTAATTATAGCTGTCCTTGCAATTGTCTAGTTATATATCATCTCTCGAAATTACTAACAAAAAAAAATCCAATTAATAATAAATTCAATTTTTCTCCCATTATTTATCTCTAGAATGAAATGACTTTTCCCAAATTGAACTCTATCAGTGTTACAATCAGCATCTATATCGATTATACTCATGGTTGATTCAACAGCAATTTTACTGGATTCGTATCCGATGATGAAGAATTAAAATATTACAAAGCATTACAAGTAACAAATTCAATGCCGATCGGCAAGAAAAGCAATAAGAGATAGATTAGCTACATGCTAAACATGTTCTACTAATAAAATAATTCAATTTTTATTCATTCTTTGAATTTCTTTTCAATATTCTTATGTATTCTATGACGTTTTTCTTATTCATTGAGGTTTTCTTTCTTATACTAGATTATACTTTTGACTATTAATTATATATAATAAACTGACCATTTCATCTATTTTACTGACCCAATATCATATGTTAATTTTATTTACAATATTTGGATGATGTAATGCAAATGCATATTGTCTTTCTGAAATAATTGTATTTTGTTCATTTGTTTCAACTAATGTAGATTTTTTAATTGCTTTTAATGCAACATATTCATTTGTATCTGTATGATAAGCAAGAAAAACTATTCCATAACCTCCTTCACCTAATTGACGTAAAAGTTTAAATGAATCAAGTGAAAGATTATGATCAGCTCTTAATCGTTTAGTTAAAAGATTATTAAATTTATTAATCATATGTTGACGTTCTTGTAAATATTCATTTAATTCATCAGATTTTAATTCAATTATTGAAACAAGACAAAAATGTGAACAATGTTTTATTGATCTTGCCTTTGGTTGTTTCGCAATATAGAATTGATTATCAAAAGCAATTGACTTTACATAGGTTATATCAGATATTATGTCATGATGTTGTTTTAACAATGTACTCATATCATCAAACTTCAATCTCATTTTATAAATTTACTAACCCGAAAAAAAACAAACAAATGATAAGAAAATTATTCGTTAGTAACTATGCTAGTTGTTTTTTTTTCTATAAAGCGCTGAAGGACGATATCGAGTATTGTGGTGTATTCTGCATTATTATTCATATAACTACATCAAAACATTGTATGGTAGAACTTTTTTTTTCTTCTATCTGCTTTTCTATATATATATATATATATATGTCTTATTATACAATCTTTTACTAATAGTATGAATGATATATGAATAACGAAAGAAAAAAAAAAGGCAAAGTTTATGCAATAACAAGACATCGCTATTACTCGTCTATGACTGGAAAGATTATTTATGTTTTTTTTTTCGAGAATTTTCTTTATCCATCATCGCGCATATGGAGGATATGAAGGAAAATAGGATGGATATTATTTTGGCTTAGTTAAGTAGATTAGTATACAGAGATATGCTCGTATGGAATAAGTCTAAATGAAGGCAAAATCTTCTTCTTTTTTTGTATAATCGTTGTCGCCGGCTTTTTTTTCCTCTCTTCTCGCTTTCTCTATGTTGGTTAGAGACTTGTCAATATATCATCGCCGTTGTCGTACCAAACGTCTGCCGATCTCTCTCCCTCTCTCGACTAACCGCAAACGTACAAAATAATATCTTAAGTAACAAGAACGAAAGAAGAAGAAAGAACAAACAACATATCTACTCATTAACATTGATAATAAACGATGGCTATTCGTGGTTTTTTAACATTATTTATTTTAACAATTTTCTATTCAACAGTTACAGGTCAAGTTAGAACATGTGAACCATGTGATACATCGAAATGTCCATTAGTATATAGTTTTACATTTGTTTTCATATTTGTTTTTTTTCTAAAATAATATTCATAGACTTCGGACAAAGAATGTCTTGCTGGATTGACACTCGATAAATGTGGTTGTTGTCAAGTTTGTGCTCAACGTGAAGTACGTGTGTTATTCATATAGATAATATATATATATATATTTATTGTATGAATAGAGTGAGCTATGTAATCATCCTGATGTTCCTTCAAGCAAACAATATGAAGCATGCGGTGAAAATCTTCAATGCAAGTAGGTATCATATATCTAACAGATGTTGCAAAAAGAAAATCCTTGGACAAATGTCCTTCGATTTATTATCAGCAAAAAAACAAGTTTTGAAAAAATAAAAAATCTAGGTTGAAAGAACTTTCTAACTCTATATTGTTTTTGAATAAAAGCAGCAACATCGAAACATAATTCTTTTAGTCTCGTTTTATACATAGAATTGAACAAAAACTCTATGAGATAAAAAAACTTGTTTGTTCTGGAGTTGTTATTTATTCGTTTTTGTTTTTTTTTTTTTTCTTTTAAATATATAGAGTTCGTATGGATAATCGTGGAGGACCACGTGAAGCACGATGTGAATGTAATGATCAAACAGAAATGTGTGGGTAAGTTAAATAAATTTAATAATTTTAAAACATTAATCATAATATGACGAAATAGTTCGGATGGAAAAACATATCGAAATTATTGTCATTTAATGGAATCAAGTAAACTTGCTAAAGTTGAACAAAAACCAATTATTAAAGTATTTAAACGTAAACCATGCGATTCAGGTAACACAAAAAAAAAAGATATGTATTTGATTTTATGTAAATCTATTTTATTTTCTAGCACCTGAAATGACTTTGCCACCTGTAAGCGTATCAAATAAAACAGGAAGTAATGTATTTTTAACATGTGAAGTTGCTGGCGTCCCATTACCTGTTGTTGAATGGGTATATCGATCATCAACAGGAAAACAAATTGTTTATCCAAGTAAGATGATTGATAATAAAATATTAGATTTTTTATATATAATTATGTAGCTGATGATGATCGTATATCAACATTGGTTCGTGGTGGACCAAATGCTCATGTTTTAACATCATGGCTTCAAATTCAATCTTTACAACAAAATGATGAAGGTACCTATACATGTGTTGCAAGTAATACATTAGGCAAAGTTGAAAAATCATGTACTGTTACTGTAGAACGTAAGTGAAAAGAAAAGAAAGATTTCTTTTTGTTTTGTAGTTTATTTTTTTAATTTTTATTTAGGCGGTCGTGAGTTTTAAAACAATGGCAAACATTTTTTAAAATTTATTCTATAAACTGAATTTAAAATTATTTTTTATTCATATTAATTGATCGGTTTGCAGTTAGTCACACGAACTCTTTTTTTTTTCTATTGCTTGTCATTCAATGTGTGCTTGAGTAGACTTTTAGATGACAGTCTTTTTTATAATCTACATTTATATATTTCATTTGTATTGAAATTTGAGAAAAATTATGACTAAGGAAATATATCACAATAAAATACAACTTAACTAAAGAATGTGTATTCAAGAATAGAAGCTAACCAACAAGAAAAGTTTCATAAGAAGTAATAGAAGGCCATGGTTTTTTTGTCCTGAGGGAAGAGAATTATGAATTCGATGGTGTTGTATCAAACAGTCATATTGTTTTTAGGAACGATGGTTAATCATAGAAAGGTCGAAACATAAAATGTCAACAAGAAAAAATTATGAAGCGGAATATGGGTGAAGAGACAACTTGCATCATCAACCACACCCATAATTTTATAGAATCTATTTATGAGCAGATATATGCCAAATTCTGATGTACATTGGATTTAATTCTTGTATTCTTCAATTCAGTCTTTGATAGTTTGCATTCGATGCACATGTATTAATGAATCAATTTGACCAATAATCAGAGTTATATTTTACTCGTTCATTTTCTTGATAAGTTTTTCAAATATTCGATAACATTATTTAATATATCTCGATGAATTGCGTTGCTTTCATATATACTTAATTCGATTAAAATAGAATCTTCCAATAACTGACTGTATGGCGGTTCATTTAACCCTGTATAAATGATAGGGCTTCAAAGAACATAATGATGATTATAAGTAGTTTTATCTAGAAAACAATGAAATGAGATAGCAGAGTCTAGATGTGGGTTGTGTAGGCTGATATAAGTGTTGGCTCGAGAAACGGAAGATTGAACAAACAAACAATGATGGAAACATGAGAAAAGAAAAAGATAAAATATCAATAAACTAATAATTGTTTATGGTGTTAAATCGAAATACTGTCGTCGCACCAAAACCCACTTCTAAAATTGAAAGTAGTTACATAATAATTATATTAAAGAAAAGTATATGATCAATTCATCACAATATGCATGATACATTTTTGAAAGTGTCTTCTTTACACAATCGGGTATGGGTGTGCGTATGGGTATGAGAGTAGATAGGGTGTAGATATGGGTACAAACAAACTCACACCCACATCCCTAACTAGTCATGACAGGTATGAAGAACATTCAAGTCTAGACGTGGCGCGTATTGCGGACACTGCAAACTAGTCATGCCGCTTGTCATCACTTATTTTGTGTTTACTTGGGTACTTTTGAACATTTTTCTTAACAGTAACAACTAGAACAAGTCAAGGAAAAGGTTTGAGTTATTGACAAAATATTCTATCACAAGAGGTATTTGTCAAACTCTTACCAAAACAATTGGCTGAAAAGTGTCTCCAAAAAACAAAATTACCAAAGCCAGTTCTTTGGATTCTATTCAAAACATTTTCTACATTACTTCACTCGATATAGCAAGGTTTTCTAAAAAAAACAAAATGAATCAAAGCTATGCAAGATCTATCTTCAGCGAGCGACAATCTATGTGTGATAAGCCTAAAGGACTATTTTCAGTTATTTTCTTGAGAACTTAACAGTTTACTACGTTTTACATTTATGCACCTTTCCTATTATGAGTATCCTTCACTGAAATAAAGTTGTAGAGAAATTCGAAACATCCTATCTTGTACAGAAATATTATTTTCTACTAAATGAAACTATTTGACACACTCCTCGGATAGGATCCTGAAAACCAATTATTTGACCTTCGTTTTCCAGAGACGTTTTACCTGAACCTGTTAATGAACATTAGACAACTATCTCCATATCGAAAACCGTTTCAACTGATATATTCTTTTCTAGGATTTTTCCTAAATTTTACTATTAAAGAATAAAATAAAAAAAATCTACGCATATAAAATATTTGCCTGCAATTTTTGAGTATCAACTTGTCATCGGTACAATAGTACAATAGGATGAGAGAAAAAGAAAAACTAAACTCGACTCTGATATGAACACTTTTTTCTTACCTCCGTAAAATCGTATTCGTCCAACAAGATTTGTAACACCTCTGTTCCAAATAATACCTAAAAAACACTGATTGATGTTATTAAATTGAAAAGCACGCTTCTGAACCGGATCCTATGTCTAACAAGATTATTTTCACGATAAGACAGTATTCAGAGCAAAATGAAACCATAACAAAACAAAATTATCAATTTTTGTTGTAAAGTATAACCGTTGAGGATTACAGTTTAAAATTACTATCCATATACAAAGCTTTCTTTTATAAATAAATGAGACTAGACAAGAAAAACTAGTTAACTCTAAAAATAGAAATACTCTGATAAGAACAATTTTTTCTTACCTAATTTAACTTGTAATCCTTGAAAACGATAACTAAAACTAAATTGACGAACAGTACCTAAAATAAAAAAAACATTCATTGATGTTATTAACTTGAAAAAAGCGTTCCTGAGCCACGTTCTATGCTTAACAGTGCTCCCCTTTCCTGATTCAAAATTTTTAGTTTTTTTGTTTTTGATATTTTATGGTCATTTTATATTCTCAAGTGGTACCTATCTACTGACTGCATTTTGAGGCCCAAAGGATACCTTCAAACTAAAAAAAAATAAGAGAAAAGAATCAAATTTACATAATGAATATAGCAAAAACTGTTCATTGTGTTGCTTCTTTCTCAAAACGACTTTTTTCTTAAAAAAGATGCAGAAACGGAGCTTTTCTTTGACGCAGTAAGCCAGATCAAGCTGAAATTTTTGTCACATATACTAGACACAGTTTGGAATG